AAAATATCTGCACCACAACCTGTAGCTTATTTGAATTTATTTTAGGCCATTTAAGTTGGGAATTTAGCCCATTTGTCAATAATGTCATATTATAGTGTTATATCTAATATTTGCATAAATAGATAATAGTTGTCCACCCCCTAAGAAAGGTTTTCTGGATCTGCTACTGTTAATCGCTCATGTAAGTAGTTTAGTTGGTTTCAAAAAATTAACCTCTACTTAAATGATAGAGTGCTGCTACGGGGACCCAAAATATAGGACCAAGGGAGGGGACAGGTGAGGTGTCCTCTCCCTATTGCATAATGAGTTGGTCATGCCAACTTATTATGCAATAGGGAGGGGACACCTCACATGTCCCCTCCATTGGTCCCATATTTTGGGTCCCCGTAGCAACACNAAAGAGATGAGATTCAATTCATAAGCTGACAGTGTCCATCACCTATACCCTTCTCAATCCTCAAATCTCAAGCTCCTCCAACAATCTGAAACTTCTTGGAACCTGCCACAACAGAAGTTATAGTTTTGTTTCTAACCAACATGATAGTGTACAGTAAGCATAAAACATAATACTATATCATTTAGAAAATGATTTAAGGACCCAACAATCAGCCTCGCTTAAAATTTTCGATTTTTTCCATTGCCCCAAATTGGATCTTGCTAGGATACAGTTAACCAAAAGTCCAATTTGCAATAGTTGCGTCTTAATTTCTGCAAGCAACCGAGCCTCAACAGCTCAGGCCATTACGTGCATGAGCGTCAGGCTTGTTCTCTAATTTCCAGTCGTAACCATTACTTTTTGCATGTATTCTATGTGCCGGTTTCTTGTTTAGAAAATTCAAATTTTGATGCTAGAAATATTTTTAATGCGCTGTGATCCAGTGCGCAAATCATTTGTTACACAAGACCCCCTTTTTTTTCAGCGTAAAACGGCACTCATGCCTAAATAATATTAAAAATATTTGTTTTGCCAATTTGACATTGAAGTCTCTAAACATTTTCTTTCCACTAGATTAGGATAAGATTTTCTTAGCCGCTTCCTGCTCTTAGTAGAGGCTGTTCTCACGGGCTCCAAGCCACTCATGCTGTTTTAATGCACCATTTATCACGACCTTGCATTGTTGTATATTGGAATTTTGGCAGATCTTAAAATAATCACGCAGATGTAGCATTGTGTAGTTAAAGCTTTTTAACGTATGGAACAAGCTTTACATTTTGAACCAGACAAGATCGATAACATCTAAGCAATCACTTATTGTTATGGACGATTATGTTGAACTCCATGGAGAACGTGCTGCGAATGTCTAACTTTATTCTTTTAACAAGTTGAGAAGGATGGACCATTTTTATGAATCAGTAATTTTATATAGCTAGTCCAATTCTTCAGGTGGAATTTCAGTCGAACGTCCAATGCCCTAAGTGAACTCTGCTTCTTTAGATAGTACATTTCGTAAAATTACGGTGACAACTATGAATTTCACAGCACTTACTTACAGTAGTGATATTTTCCTAAAGCGATTAATTACATTGCGCGGCTACCCTGACGGTATGCATATGAAAAAAATTACAGCGATTCACCTTGCGAGTCTTTGCTATATCTAAAATTGGCGATGACCATGCAGCAATTGCCGAATCTCGTATATACAATGGGCCTACATCCCAAGAGTCAGTGGCTGCTTTATTTGGGGTTTCTACAGGGCACCTGTGCAATTACAAGCTAATACTCTTCAGGCATTATGTGTTTGTTGAGAGAGAGCCACTGGCACTCCAAGCCGTCACCCGTGTAATTACATCATACCTCTAAATACCTCAAAGCAGTTAAATGTAATTAATCATATTTTAAATTTGTAGTATCTAACAATACTATCATAGTCTGTAGTCTTCCAACCTTGCACAAAGGGCCGATTTTTGCGACAGTCTGCTTGTTGCGGCTATCCTCATCCTGCAGCTTAGATCATTTGTCAAGAGATTTTTTGAGCCTACGCCTACCACAGCCAATGTGAGCTGCTTTTACATCAATCTCTGTCTTATGCCTTAAATTACTTAACCTGTTAGTATTTTTCACATCAACGTTAGCAGAGATAGTTAAAGGCGTTATTCAGCTTGTTATAACTCTGAAAATGCCTTGGTATCCATATTGGGCGATTCTTTGGTTTTGATCTATCACGAATGGTTTCAACATTATCTGATCACTAAAACACTATGAATGGATAATGATGGGTGATGCCCACGGATTGCAAAGCCATCATATAGTATATATATATATAATATATATATATATAATATATATATATATATATAATATATATATAAGATGAGAGAAGCAACTAACTGACGGAGAGAGAAGATGAGAAGAAGAGATGTATGCTTGCGCTAGCCAAGCCAGCAAAAAAGTTCGTGCTTGCGTAGCTGCATGTGACTAATCTGCCTCCAACTGCATTCCAAATAGTTGCATATGCCCACATGCACTCACTTACATCCATGTGAATGCAGCGCAGGTCATCCTATTTTGAATAAGTTGCGAGCGGAATTGTGCCACCCTCACTACGCAAGCATAAAATTTTTGCTGCGTTGGCTACCAAGCAGCCATACCCCATATTTCAATCATATATATATAAATATATAAATACCTTATATATATATATATATATACTATATATATAATAATATATATATATATATATATATATATATGACATTTCTTTTTAATTTTTACCTTCCTATTTCTAAAGTTCGTAGGCATCCTTAATTGGATCATTTATGGGTAAGAAAATGTAAATGTGTTATAAAACTTACTCTCTATTATTGGACAAGTGATGGGAGGACAGAAAACATGGGAAAATATTATTTCTATATATTACTAGTTTTGAAAGTAAAAATAAAATAATCCAGAGACTCAAACCACAACAACAGAAGATATTGGGAACCACCAAGGTTATACCTACAAGTGGGCCTTATTACGAACTAAAATGAGAGAACCTTGGTTTGGAATGCATATAGACATGTAGATATATTTGGTGGTCTCTAAAGTCAAACCTGCTTGTATACACCTATGTCGTATGTGTTTTACAAACTTCCAAAGACTTTCTAAGATTTATAGGGTTAATTGTGGATGGACCCCTGTACTATCTCTCAATTTTAGATAGACCCCCTGTACTATTTTCCCAAGTGTGGATAGACCCTTGAGTGAACTTTTTCGACTCTTTTAAGAGACAAAAAAGCACTTGGGGTCTATCTTCTCCGGTCTAACTATGAGGGATCTATCTGCCTCCTTAAAAAAATATTACTCAGGAGGTCTATACGCACAAATAGAACTAAAGGGGATCTATCTACAATTGGGTGAAATACAGGTGTCTATCTGCTATTAACCCTCATCTTAATTGGATATATTTCTTTCGTTAAAATGAAAAATTGATCGGAATCCATTTTTAAGTGGTTATAATCCAAGCTGACTGAAACTATTGATCCTATTTGGGTCAGAAACCTGCATTAGTGAATCTAAATCAGGATTCTCAAGTATCCGTCTGAAATTTACCCTGTTCTTACACGGTTACACCAAATTGTCCTTATTGCTGGCTACTATATTTCTTGCGTATCATTTCAATAAAATCCAATAATATTGACTATTAAAAGTAATAAACAAAATTCTCGAAGCATGTGATTGAATTAATAACTAAATGATAATGAAAAATTTGCTAAGTGGCCATAATTGACCAAAGGGCCAAGAAAAGGGTGTAAGCCTTTAAAATTTATATAAAATTATAAGATCACTAGTATAATAACACTAGGTATCATTACCATCATTATCATTAGTAGCTAACATTCAAGTAGGAGCTATGTAGCTAGAATAACAAACATATTTGATCTCTTTTATCATTTATTTCCATTGAGACATTTTTAGGATTTATTAATGAAGTGGCTGAAATGACCAAAGGACCAAAGCAAGGATTGAAGACTTTAAAGTCATGTTATTTATCCTGGTAATATGATTTAGACATTACGTTGCAATAAGCATGTTGTCTATAACATGGAATTCTATATAGGTGCTAGCCACCAACCTTTTAAAACAGCTGATACTTTCGGAGTAACTGAATTTAAGGATAGGGCATTAAGTTGTAGTGCGGTTTCAAATGGTATATGCCTCTGTATGATTTTCAACAAAAGAGGTATATGATACATACTGGTTCTGACAAATCTAGTGGAAGTGGATAAGTTGAGGCAACAGGAATTATTAATCAAGGTTCATGTTTTCTGTTCTTTTCTTCAGTGCTATAACCCACAAGAAGATCATCGTAACTTTCTTTTCTCAAGTGTAACCAAGAATATATTGTATTGTTTGTTGGAGGAAACTTTATTATTTGGTATCATACGAGGTTTCAATTTAAGGTCATCAATTGACTTGAGCATGTTAATCATCAGGGGTGGATGTTCATGTGAACTTAATAGGAGCAGAGTGCGGTTTTTTTTTTTTTTTTTGAGCGGGCGGGCGGGCGGGATGCAGTGGGCAGGAGGGAATTGGCCCCAGCTCTAAGAAGTGCTGACGAATTCATTCTCAAAGCCCTCTAAAACCTCTCTAAACTTTCTAATTTGCCCCGCCCCCCCCCCCCCCCCCCGACACACACACACACACACCAAAAAAAAAGGAAGAATAAAAATCGAAAATATCTGCACCACAACCTGTAGCTTATTTGAATTTATTTTAGGCCATTTAAGTTGGGAATTTAGCCCATTTGTCAATAATGTCATATTATAGTGTTATATCTAATATTTGCATAAATAGATAATAGTTGTCCACCCCCTAAGAAAGGTTTTCTGGATCTGCTACTGTTAATCGCTCATGTAAGTAGTTTAGTTGGTTTCAAAAAATTAACCTCTACTTAAATGATAGAGTGCTGCTACGGGGACCCAAAATATAGGACCAAGGGAGGGGACAGGTGAGGTGTCTCCTCCCTATTGCATAATGAGTTGGCCATGCCAACTCATTATGCATGCCAACTCATTATGCAATAGGGAGGGGACACCTCACCTGTCCCCTCCATTGGTCCCATATTTTGGGTCCTTAAATCATTTTCCTAAATGATATCGTATTAGTTTTATGCTTACTGTACACTATCATGTGGTTAGAAACAAAACTTAAACTTCTGTTTGTTGGCAGTTCCAAGAAGTTTCAGATTGTTGGAGGAGCTTGAGAGAGGAGAGAAGGGTATAGGTGATGGAACTGTCAGCTATGGAATGGACGATTCGGATGACATACTGATGTGTTCATGGACTGGGACTATCATTGGTCCTCATAATGTAAGTTTTTCATTTCACCAGTTTTTTCATACTGACGTTTCATAAACTAATTTTTTCTGACATGAATTACCAAATTACCTGACTTATCCATTAGGTTGACCTACTCATGAAATGTGAACATTTCTTTTTTTTCTCTTAGTTTATCCATGCACAGGACCAAACAGAATTCTGTATAGCAAATTTATCATCTTTCTTATTCTTTTAGAATTTTCCTATTGTAAATCATGTCAGCCTTGCTCTTTTTTCAAAACATTCTTCTGTTAATTTAGAGATTTTTCTAACCTAATTAAAATGGTCAATCTGCCTACCTACAAAATGGCTATCTAAGTTCTATGAATCATTAGCTTTTATCAACTAGAAAACCATGAGATGTATCAATGATAGTTTATAGTTTATTTATATACAGGCGCAGGGTGCCAAATGTCCTTCCAATATAGCAAAGCTCCGGCGTTAGTGAGCATTGAGAGTTATAGTTCTATACTCTAACATGGTCCCACAAGTTGAGGGTCTTTTTTATGAGACGAAACCTGGACTCATGTGCAGTAGTATCAAACCTTTTTTTAATTTTAGAAATCCACTTTAAATTCGTGGTTAGTGCAAATTGAACCTAGGTTGCTCTGTTATTATGTCAACGGTCCTTCCACTACACAAGCTTTGGAGTTTGTGAAGGTTGAGGGTTATAGTTTGATACTACATGCCCCCACATTGTTGATTGCTTTTTATGGGCCAAAACTCGGACTCACACAACGTTTTAATTTTTTTAAAAATCTGCTTCAAATTATGTGGTTGATTGGAACCGAACATGGGTTGCTCTGATACGTTCAAAGGCACTTTTACTACACCAAAGCTCCATAGTTGATTTGATTAGGGCTGAGGGTTATAAACTTATCTTTTATACTATAAATATAAGGATTTTTTCAGAGAGGTTTTATACGTCGGTTTCTGCAAAGTTTTCAAAAACAACTGCCATAAGGTGGAAAGACAGAAAGTTGAAACTGTTTGTTAGTGAGGCAACACTTATACATTAGGTGGTGTACATGAATATAGTGGTAGCTCAATCATGAACTTAATATAGTTATTGATTATTACTTCGGCTTCAAAATATATTAAAAATAATAATCTATTTCACAAATGAGTTAAAGAAGAAAATTTTAGAACTTTTTGAAGCTAGAACCTGTAAACCTAGCCATCTCATTCATTTCATATTTGTTATTTTTATTGATCAACGTTGCTAGTTGTCTACCATCTCATCAATGTAGTATAGCTTCTCTGTTTACTTGGAATCAAGATTAACCGTAATAGTTCTTTCTTAATAATTAATCTTTTTTTTTTTGTATGCTTTCATTTGACAATTAAATCTGATATCCCAAGTTTCCTTGTAGACTGTTCACGAGGGGCGAATATATCAGTTGAAGATCTTCTGCGATGAAGACTATCCCAACAACCCCCCAGCAGTTCGTTTCCAATCACGAATAAACATGACATGTGTGAACCGAGAAACTGGAATGGTAATATTCTTCAACTACTTTGTGAAGTTTAATGCCATTGTTCAGTAAGAAATGTGTATTGTACTGGTCTCTGATTTCTGCTTGCAACTTAATAGGTTGAACCTAGCCTATTCCCAATGCTTGCTAATTGGCATAGGGAATACACAATGGAAGATATCTTGATCAGTTTGAAGAAAGAAATGGCTTCTCCCCAAAACCGAAAACTGATCCAGCCTCAAGAAGGTTAGTAATTGTATTTCTTGGGTCTTTGTTACTAGGCCTCTTATAGTTGTCTCAAGAGTAAGGGTGTGTTTGGTTCAGATGCATTTACAATATCATGTATTTTTAACTTCTGCATATAAACACACTTCAATCTGAATGTAACAATAACTTTGTTATCATTAAGCATTTCAATTTTCTTCATGGGCTATAATTCACTTAATCGCCATTTGGTCGAAAAGAATTAAAATTGTCAAAAATCGTGGGTTGCCCGTGAAAATCACACGTTTTGATGTGCACATACTTAATTTCCAATTAGATGAAACGGATAAAATTTCAAAAGTCGTGGGTTATATGCCATGAAAAATAAAAATTGGACATGCGTTCTTCATTGCCATTTGGTCGAAATGAACGAAAATTGACAAATTTGTTGGTTATAGCCTATGAAAATCGTAAATTTTGATGTATACATCATTTCTATTTAGTCAAAACAAGCAACAATTGCAAGATCCGTGGGTTACATCTCATGAGAATCATGAATTTTGAACTATGTGCACTTAATTGGCATTTGGTCGAAATGATCGAACATTGATAAAAATTATGGATTATAGTTCATGAAAGTCACAAATTTTATGTACATATACTTAATTTCTATTTGGTCATTACAAAGAAAAATCCCAAAAATCATGGGTTATAGCCCATGAAAATCGTGATTTTTGAACTACACATACTTAATTGTCATTTTGTAGAAAGGAACTAAAACTGAGAAAAAGATTATGGGCCCATGAAAATCGCAAATTTTGATGTACAATTGTACACATACCTAACTTACCTTCGGCCGCAACGAGTAAAAATTACGACAATTGTGGGTTATGCTGTTGAATTTCATGAATATTTAACTACACGTATTTTATTGCCATTTGATAGAGATGAAAAAATTTGACAAAATCGTGAGCTATAACCCATGAAAATCTCAAATTTTGATATACACATACTTAATTTTTGTTTAGTAGAAATGAAGAAAAATTGTCATGAAAATCATAAATTTTGTACTATGCGTACTAAAGTGTCATTTGGTCTAAATCAATGCAAATTGACAAAATCATGAGTTATAACCCATGAAAATCATAAATTTTGATGTACACATACTTGGTTTCCAGTTTGTGGAAACGAACAAAAATCAATGCAAATTGATTTCCAGTTTGGTCTAAATCAATGCAAATTGACAATGAGTTATAACCCATGAAAATCATAAATTTTGATGTACACATACTTGGTTTCCAGTTGTTGAAACGAACAAAAATTACAAAAAATATGGTCTTACCCATGAAAACCATAAATTTTAAACAACACGTACTTAATTGTTGTTTGGCCAAAATGAAAGAAAATTGACAAAAATTATGGGTTGGCGTATGAAAATTGCAAAATTTAATGTACACAATCTTAATTTTCATTCATCAAAACAAAGATAAACTTCAAAATCATGGGTTAGCCCAAGAAAATAATAAATTTTTAACTACGCGTATTTAGTTACTATTGGTCTAAATGAAAAAAACTGAGAAAAATGCAGGTCACGGCCGATGAAAATTGCACATTTGATGTACACATAATTTCAATTTGGCCGAGATGAGCAAAAATTACAAAAATCATGGGTTATAGGCCATGAAAATCATGAATTTTGAACTCCGCGTACTTAATTGCCACTTGTCTAAATGGACGAAATTTGACAAGATCATGGGCAAATCGCAATTTTTATGTATACATATTTAATTTTCATTTCGTGAGCTGAATAAAAATTGCAAACATCGTGGGTTAGCATATGAAGATCATGAATTTTGAACTACACGTACTTAATTACCAGTTGGTCAAAATGAACAAATATTGATGTCGCGCCCTTCACTCTTCAGTTAATGTCCAATCACTTTTTATTTACGAAAGATGGAAAAAAAAGTGGAGTCACTATCCGATATTTGGTTGTCTTTCCATTTAGATTCCCGTTGTCTAACGCCTATTTAGTGAACCTATAATGTTTGTAGACTCTGCAGTGTAGTTTTGCTGTATTTTAGTGATTTGATGAAGAGTACCTTGCAGGTGGTAGTGATGACCAGAGGATGGAGCAGAAGGGGTTGATGCTGAGATGTACTATCCTTTAACTGGGAGGCAAAATGCGAATAAAATGTAAATAAATATTCTGAGAGAAGATATGCTGAGTTCAGTTTGTAATATGGAGTTCAATTGACAAATAAGCAATAGGCTTATTTGGTTGGGTACTTTGATGTAACAGTACTATGGATAGGAAGGTACTTGAAGATTTATGTCACCAATAATATGTATTATTTAACCCTTTTTAGAGTCCAGTTTTTACCTTTCTATGCTACAATAGTAACGACATTAAATTGGGTATTGTTTCATATTTGATTGTCTGTTTGGTCAGGTTTATATGTTTCCCTGCGTTTTGTGTCTATACTTGGTCGATCATTCTGTAGGTCGATCATTCTGTAGGGTTCCTTCTTTAAAAAAGAATTACTCTTCTCAAAATGCGTTGTTGTGCACTAGGGGTGGGCGTGGACTGAGCCGGTTTAGGCCCGTGACCCGGCCCGTCAGGTTTAAGTCCAGACCGGGTTTGACTCGGGCCTGTCCGAGTTAGAGTGAGTCAGATCTATTTTTCTGATCCCGGGTCTGGGATTAGACTCGACCTAACCCACGACTAGCTTAGGGGAGGGCTTGGTTAGGCCTGGCTCGCGGATCATGGATCGACCCATGGGTTTTTAACTTTTTCTAATTTAGTTGTTTTTTTATTTCTAAACTATATTAACTTTATATTAGTATATTTTAGATTATATTTAAATTATTTTTTTATTTTACTCTTTATTTAAAATGATATATATATATACACACATTATACAAAGATAAACATCACACTGAAAAACATCGCAAACACAAAGATATATGTGTTTTGAACTTTGAAGGAAGATCTACATCCACATAAAGTTAATAATTTTCCTTTAGTTTAAATTTAAATTACAAATACAAAAAGAAAAAAGAAAAAAAAAGTTAACTAAAAACTATAATAATTAAAATTTGGAGTCAGGCCGGGCTGGGTCGACGGTGGGCCAGGCCTATTTCTATAGTCTCGGGTCTGGAGCTGGACCCAGTCCAATCCATGACCCACGTATATCATGGGTCGGGTCGAGCCGGACCCACTACAGACCTGATCGGGTCGTGATCCATAACGGGCTGGGTCGGGTCAGCCCGATGGTTGACCCGTTCTGTGCCCAACCCTATTGTGCAGTCATGCTATCTCACTGTTCCTATGTTTAGGTTTCTCATTCTAGGCTTTAGGTCGCTCCGCTACAGAGTGAATATTTAAAGTTCACTTTTTCGATTACAACCATTGATCGTTCAGTGAATTGATACGACTTATTATGTGCGGACAATAAGCATGAGTATGAGCTACAAAAGAAATCAACCCTGACGTTTTAATGTTTATTATCTGTAAATTTTAAGATTTACTATCCTCATATCTTTCTCTATGATTTGGAGTAGAGTACATTTTATACGACTGTTTTCCTACATAATGTACAAATAAATTCTAGAAGTGGTCAACTTAAAGAGTACTTTAGATATGTACAGTTAATTGATGGAGTTCTGAGGTCTTTTGTTGTGGATTTTTTGGTTAGAAATGAAAAGTGTCTAGGGTGAAGTGGTGAAGTTTTTTGCTATTAGATATTTAACAAATGTAGTTTTGTTTTATTCCATCAAGAGGAAAGAATTTAAAGTTTCTTCTTTTAACTTTCTTGAGGAGTTGCCACTTCTGTGTCTGTTCTCCTTGGGTGGGTATTATAGGGGTAGGATGGTGAACGTCTGCAGGCATTGGAAATTTACGTAATTAATGCTTTTCTCATGTAATAAACTCAAGTCTTTGTTAAGTTTGTTGTTTTGCACCTCTTTTATTTCTAGTGTTTTTGACTGTTTCTGTACCTCTCAAGTATCCTAGTCAAGCTAGTATTTGCTCAAGTTTTCTATTCAACTTGAAGTTAATATTACTCATATCAGAAATAGGATGAATTTATGGCCTACATACTTAAGAGTTTGAAGAGCCGTTATATCGATTCCCTCACTACTTCGCTAAATTAAAAAAAAAAGACATGAGTGCTCCTTGAAAAAAGGATTTGGGTTCTATTTTAGCATTTCCCCGATTTTTTCTAATCTTGTTGGTGCTAGTTTATCGTCTATTGTATCTTCTATTGAGTTTGTCTTACAACTCAAATAAGTTACCGACTAAGGACATATTTGTTTGCACGAAATTAGGTACGAAGTAGCTCAAATAAAAGTAAGTAAGCTTCTTCTCCTATTTCCGAGCAAACAAGTTTGTTTATTTCTTTAAAATAAACTACTCCTGGTACTTCCTTAAATGTTAACATGGTGCCTATATGGCATACCTACTTCTTAAATAATTTTCTGCCCTTCAAGGCTTTGAAGTTGCTGAAACATGAGTCAATTTACAAATAGAAATATGATTCATTGCTATTATCCATGATAATTAGCTATTTTTAGTTGTTGGTAAATAATTTTGAAAAGGCCAAAATTCATGATTTTATGAACTATTGCTCATGATTTTTTTTTGCCACAATTAGTCATTTTGACCGGTTGAAAATAATTTTACTAGGGCCAAAATTTATGATTTCATTAGCTATAATCTGTGATTTTTTGCCATTTTCAGTCATTTTGACCCGTTGGAAAATGATTTCATGGCGGTTAAAATTCACAATTTCATGAGCTATAACCCATATTATGACCATTTTTAGTCGTTTCAACCCATTAGCAAATAATTTTGTGGAGGTCAAAATTCACGATTTTATGATATAACCCATGATTTTTAGATATTTTAAATTATTTGAACTATTGTTAATAATTTTACAGAGTCCAAACTTCATGATTTTGTGAGGTAACCCATGATATTTGGTCATTTCTTGTTGTTTTCCCTATTAATTAGCAAATAATTTTTTGCAGAGGCAAAAAGTCATCATTTCATGAGCTATAACCCACAAATTTAGCCATTTTTAGTTGTTTTGACCTATTGGCAAATAATTTCATGAGCTACAATCCATAATTTTTTGACATTTTTAGTCAGTTCAACTCATTGATAAATAATCTTATAGAGGCCATGATTTTTTGACATTTTTAGTCATTTCAACTCATTAATAATTAATTTTATAAAGGCCAAATTCACAATTTGATAAGGCATATTTCGACCCATTGACAAATGATTCATGAGCTATTACCCAAGTTTTTTTGGCAATATTTAGTCGTTTTGACCGATTGAAAAATAATTTTCCAGATGTCAAAATTCATGATTTTATTATCTATAATCCGTGTTTTTTTTGTCATTTTCAGTCGTTTTGATCTATTGGGAAATGATTTCACGGAGGCTAAAATTCACGATATTATGGACTATAATCCATGATTATTACCATTTTTAGTGGTTTCAAACCATTAGCAAAAAATTTAATGGAGGTGAAGATTCACGATTTCGTAACCTATAACATATGATTATTAGTGATAATGACTTTTTATTACAATTTTATACCCTCATTATCTATTTTATATGAATAAATATATCACTAATAATTGTTTTTATCTTTAATTGCAGGTTAATAAAGAATAAATCTCAAACTCCCATCTCTCAACAAAGACCCTTGAGTAAATGAAGAAATAAGGGAAGTCAAGAAGTCTAATGGAAATTCAAGAAGCCAAAGTGAAAAATCAAACCAAAAGCCCAAGCCCACGAATTGAAGAAAAAAACACAAGCAAAAGAGCAAATAAAGAAATTGTGAAAAGCCCAAAAGAAATTCAGCACAAGTCCCTCTTTAGTCTCAAATTTAAAGGCCCAAAGCCCATTATTGGCTTCATTGTGTGCAGAGAGTTGAGACCGAACAAATGATTGATGACATTGGACTTGAATTGATTTTTGAAAATCAAATAGGGACCGGACTTCTTTGCTGCAGAATCTCCAGGACCGAATTTTGCTCATTGGACTTGATGGTTTCAGTTGGATTTTCATATATGTGAAGCTTGAAGGCCCAAAGATGAACTCCACATGGGCCGGACATGAATTTTCTTTTTTTGAAATCAAATGAGTTCCATGGGCCTGATCTGCTGCAGACTTAGTTTTAAGTTGAAATCAAATTCCATGCGGACAGCTCTCCAAGACCGGACTTGCTGCTGATTTTTTTTCCCCCAATGGACCATGAAAATCAATTCTCAATTGGGCCGAAAAAAAAAACAAAGAGGACCGGACTTGACTTGGGTGCTGCAGATTTTCAAAAACAAAACCGGACTTCGCTTTTGCAACTTTGATTTTTATTTATTTTTGAAAATCAAATGTGCCTCCTATGGTTGGGCTAGAGAAGAACAAAAAGTAAATTCAAAGATGGAGATTGTTGCTTGGGGCTCAAGACAAATCCAATGGCTCATATTCATTGAAGATTACTATAAATAGGGGTAGAGAGTGAGGGGTTAGAGGTGTGAAAATTTTCTTATAGATTAGATTTATTTCATGCTTATAGAGTAGATTTATTTTCTTGCATTTAATTCTTGTAATTTTATTTTGTAGTTTAGATTTTACAATTTATTTTGTAGTTAGATTTTAATTTCTTATACTATTCACCTTGAGGCTAGAACCCTCTTGGGTTTAGTTTTTCTTTTTGTTTATTTTTATTTTGTTTGATTCGCCTTTAGGTTAGAACCCTCTAGGGAATCACCCTTTTCTAAGAAGTGAGTTCAATTTTAGATTATCCATATCTATAATTGAATCCACCATCTTTAATTTCTTGCATTTTCTTTTATTTTTGAATTTTGTTCTTCATTCTTAATTTTTCATTTGTTTCTTGATTTTATTCATTTTTTCCTTCTCACCTTATTGATCATACTCATTTTTTTTTAAATTCACTCTCACTTACACTTTACACATATTCACACACCATTTTCACTCTCTCAATCTCTCCACAATCACATTTACTCATCACTCCTATTTATCACGCACACAAAATAAGAACCAATTTTATATTTTTTTCCTACAAAACACCTTCCTCGTGGGATCGATATCTTAATTTTTCATTTGTTTCTTGATTTTATTCATTTTTTCCTTCTCACCTTATTGATCATACTCATTTTTTTTAAATCCACTCTCACTTACACTTTACACATATTCACACACCATTTTCACTCTCTCAATCTCTCCACAATCACATTTACTCATCACTCCTATTTGTCACGCACACAAAATAAGAACTAATTTTATATTTTTTCCTACAAAATACCTTCCTCGTGGGATCGATATCTTAAATACTATAACTTGACACGGTTGTGCACTTGCAACCTTTTTGGTACATGTTTATGCCGCATCAAGTT